AACATCATAAGCATTAAACTCCAAAATGATCTTTAAAACGTGATAAGATTTCCTTTGTTTTCACGAAATGGTTATGAGAGCCAATCCTTGACCAGTACTGTTCAATCGAGATTCCCATACCCTTGCGAAATGGCTTTTGGAATTCCTAGGAATGAAGGTGTGAATTTTCCCGGTAAATTCAGACTGGGAATTCCTAGGAATTCCTAGGAATTCCCAACCATAACAACTCTGGTTCTAAAAACCTAGAAATTCCTAGAAATTCCCAGAAATTCCAAGTTTATAGCCAACAGGACTTGGAATTCCTTGGAATTCCTAGGAATTCCAACTCACAGAACCAATAACTTTCCCTGAAAAGCCGTAAATCTAAAAAATTCCTAGGAATTTCTGGGAATTTTTAGGAATGTTTAAGAATACTGGGAATTTTCAGCAAAAATTTGAGGCTAATGATATAAAATAAATACTTTAAATTAAAAAAACCCAGCTAAAATGCAAGTATTCAATTAAATTTATTTAGAAGCTTACCGAGTAATTAAGGCTTACATGTAAAATATTTTTGATTAATTATTAACATCAATGTGTGGTAATATTAGGATGGAATTTGATTTATTTTTCTTTTCTTGAAAACTTCATACGGATTAATCCTCAATTACAGCTATTCATATAAAATAGTTCTAATCAATCATTAAATTTGGTTTGACACAAATTGTGAATAAAATCTGTTGATTCTTTTCCATAAAATACAATATCTTAAGTTATATTTGAAAACCAAGCACTCTTGGGAGTTAAGGGGCTAATTACAGACAAATAAAATTGATTTTTTGATTAAAATCTTGTTGTAACTGTAACAATAAATTAGAATGAAGTTATCCTAAACTGCAAACTTAGCTGCTGTTTGTACTGTTTGTATTTTTTTTTCCTGGGCTCACAATGAGTTGGCCTTGAATGAGGTTGTCTACAAGAACCTTGACCATTTTGTATCTGGATTCCTTGACATCTGAATTTGAAAAAAATAATATATTAAAATATGTACATTTAAAGCTCAGACCAGGCTTTTAAGATGGCTATGAGGAAAAGGGCATTCATTGGATTCTCAAATTGAGAAATCTCTGTTATATTGAGTGACTTTTATATTGGAGTTAGTACATCTCTCTCGTGGATTTTACTAAAAAAGGGCTGAATACATTATTTTGTTTTTACCAAGGAGGGCTTCTTTATGTAATAAGGTTTGTTTAATAACAGTTCCTATTATGAATCTTGAATGTTCCCAAACGTGACTAGAGGAATCTTGAAACCTTACTGATAGGTTTATTTCATTGTAAAGCATAAGCTTAAGAAACTGCGGCATGCAAGTGACCGATTCGATTCTCAGAATTATTCTAGTTTCAGTTGCGCCGAGCGTTATGTAAGCTTAATTCAACCCGCTACATCTATTCTTTTATAAGATTTTGATCACGTAACGAATATCGCAATTTTTACTCACCACAAACTTTCAAAATCGTTGCTTTACAGATGGCCACTCGACCCTTGTTTGTACCAGTCAATATGTCAACTGTTGTCCCTTCTTTTAACTCCACGGCGCCAACGACTTTCTTTTCTTTTACAACACTCACGCTATTCTCGTTTTCCCATTGAACCACAATAAAAGCTATCTTTAGAAATGTTATATCAAGCAAAACAGTTGAGAAAAGCGATCAACCGATGAAAAGTATATTCAAAGATGAGTGCCAAGTGGAATCTTCTTTGTTTCCGATCACGGGCATGATCACGTGGATCTTTTAGGACTTGTCATTGGCTAGCAAAGGGAATCCGCTGGCTTGCCGATTGCAGTGTCAAGAGAAGCGCACAACTTTATTCTGACTTCTCCGACCGGTTCTCTGCTTCTAGAAGATGGATACCTTGGTGATATAAATAAAGATGTGAGCTCACTCTATGTAGAAATAATCGACAAGAACCGATCGTATTACAAATGCACGATTTGTGGCCGAAAGTTGTCGAGGAAACAAAGACTCGAAACTCACTTGAGTTGCGAATGAAAGTGAACTTCGCAGTAATGTGCACTACTTAGGCAGTAGTGAAAATAAGGCCTGAAAAAAATTCAGTACGTACGGGATTTGAACCCATGACCTCTGCGATACCGGTGCAGCGCTCTACCAACTGAGCTAACAAGCCAACTGGGAGCTGGTCATGAAGTTGGTTCTAAATAAACCCGTGAGGTGATGAATAAATGGTTAAGAATATATGAAAGTCATATATTTGAACTGCGGATAAAGACGTGAATGAAAGTGAACTTCGCAGTAATGTGCACTACTTAGGCAGTAGTGAAAATAAGCAAAAACAATTTTTCACTTGAGTTGTGTTAATGGCAAAGGTGAGAAATAACACAAGCCAATCACAGTTTTGAATGCGACTACAAATCGTCTTTTACCCTCATATTTATAAAAGAAGGATACCACATTCGGAAGTATAAGAGATACATAGATGATCCCAGTGTACCAGTACCTAAATCTACAAAGCTTGACCGTAGCAAGCGTTCAGCAACACGTTCCAACACCGCCTTCTCGATTCCTCAGTCAGTCGTTTTCACTGAACTCAAAGCAGTATTGACAACAGAGTAGAGTGCGTCTTACAAAGGAGAAACATTTGTACAAGATACAGAAGTAGCTATATGCGATTACAGAGGTGCGTTGGAACTCTAGTCCACAAATAGTTATGCACTGCCCGAAGTATAAAACAATTTTGTTGATAGCTGACAGACAGAGAAGAACAACAAGTAAACTTAAGAGCTGTTATTATTGAAGTGTGACTAGCACTTTTCATTTTTATATAAAGAAGGACTTGTAATTTGCACCAATAATAAAAAGATGTAATATTTTTTGGGAGATCCAGTGATTGGGACATTTAAGAAATTAAGTTATGAAAGGAAACTTGGTTGGTACTTCTCACTACTAACAAGTCTTGTTGACAAATATTTTCAGATCAGAGTTTCAAATAAAGTAAATTGAAGACGTCATTTAAAAGGTGTTTTTTCTCAAAGGGAACATTGACTACCTCTGTCTTGTCTGCATGCCAAATGTTTGCAAAGTGTGTGGATGATCCACAAGTATTGGAACTCTTACAAAAATGTTTTGTAAGAATAAAAACAGCAAAACAAATTACAGCAATTGGTCATGAAAATAGAGCAAAAAAACTGAAAAAAAAAAGCAGCAACAACAATCATGAAAAAAGAAAGATTAATTAGATGTTGAATTTGTTTGTCTATGGCATGAAATTTCTACTAAAAGTATTGTCAACAAAAAGTCTCTGACAGCGTTTGAGGCAACTGAGCTTGACTGTTCCAAGGTATTCTAACAAAGGCAACCAGTAATGTAGGTTAAGGAAGTAAGATAACAATGTAATTATTGTTAATTATTGTGGGAGTTGGCAATTTCCATTTAACATAACTGATAGCTGGTTCATGAGAAAATCCATATTAATGTAAAGATTTACTAAAACTTAGTTTGAATAATAAATTTCATGATCTTTAAGTTATAAACATGTACATGTATGTATATCTCTTGGTAAGTTTTGTATAGCATACCTTTTATTGAGCCAAAGTTTTAAGCCTCTAAAATTACTCTTTTTCTTAAAACCTTCACATTCAAGGTACTGAGAATTTCTTAGAATTTATGTGGACCTCAGGGTATTAAAATTTCCTCAAATTCAATTCCCAGAAATTCCCAAGAGTTCCACACTTCTTAAATTATAGGTAGTTTGTAAAGCTGAGAATTCCTAAGAATTCCTAGGGATTCCAAGTCCTCACAAAACTGGAGTCTTCCTTTCCCAGAAATTCCCAGTAATTCCAAGCTTTTTAAACCAGAGTCAATTTGCATAGTTAGGAATTTTTGAGAATTCCTAGGAATTCCTAAAACAAGGAATTCAGTTTGCAAGGGTCATTTGCATAATTGGGAATTTTTGAGAATTCCTAGGAATTCCTAGGAATTCCCAGAAAACTGGGAATTCAGTTCGCAAGGGTACTTACTTTTGTCGTTTTGAAATATATGCCTCCGTACTTCTCAACAGTGCAAAGAGAGTGCAACTACAACACAACCGATTTCACTTTATGGCACTTTCAGGTGGTATCAGACGCATTCAAACTCTTTCAGACACTCAGTGGTACAACCCACACCGATGGATCAAGCCGAATATTGTCTTTTAAGAGCGTAAAAGCTCTTGCACAAGCTGCACTTATAACACAATTATAAGCCTAGTCTGGGTATGTTGACTTGTGTGAGGAGAACTAACTCGTGACACGATGACCTTAAAAAAAAAGTTACTCGAGACCACGCTTACAACTAAGATGGCTGACTCAAACTAGTACGCCGCATGGCACTAGACCAAGTGACAGGCGCTCGACTTATGTGGGCAAATAATTAAATAAATGCGATCGTGCCATAATGTGGCTACACAATTTGTGTAAGCCACACAAAAATTTCGTTGGGTTATTATCACTCGTTGAATTAATAATTTATTCGTATCTGCACCAGGAGAGAGAGTTATCGATGTGGTAGGAGGGTATAACAATTACATGAGTTAAAGCGAAGAAATCCAGTCAGCATCTCGCTCTGGGAAGGGAAGAATTTACTTGAAATTCGCTTCAAATACTCCTAACCCGCGTTGCGTTACATACCCCTCGTCACGAATTCTCCTGACAGCTACACAGCTTTACCCATCATGCATTTGCTGCCCGAGTTCCTATTTTTCCAGGAAATCGTTACAACAAAATCGTCTTCGTATACGCGATAACTTCTTCCAAGGTACGTTATTGTTAAAAGCTCAGGGTGATCGCTGCAAAAGGAATAATTCACTTCATTTGAAAGGTATGGAATGTTATTCCTAACGTATAACTGATCGCCATTAACAAGTTTCATACGCTTCAATGACATCTTGATGTTATTTCAATTTAGCTTTAGGTAAAGGGACATCTTAGTTTTCAAAAGTATCTCCTAGATAAAAGAAATATCATGGCATCGCCTAGAAAATTCCATCTCTTCAACTGCGACAGTGTTTATAAGCTCGACTCCATCGAATATTTGTTGTTGACAACGACAAGCAATCTTGGCATTGATATATCTGTGGAGCAACACTATTTTACGGTTTCCGAGATAACTGAGTACAGCCATCAAAAGATTCCCACACTGGAGATGGATGCTGCCATTTTAGCTGTCAATGCAAACGAATCTCGACTCTCCATCAACGAAAACACAGAGGGAGGCTACACAAAGGTTTACAGAGCTTTGCTTCAAGCGACAGGTATAGCGAAACCGGAAGTTGAACACGACAAGAGTTTAATTATTAGAATCATTATTTAAAAAAGTCTTCTGCAAGTCATATTGGTGTAGTTTCTGCAAAATACACACACTAGCTTTTTCTAAATTTTTATTTACCAGATTTTTTTCAGGTTCCATTTCGTTCTTTACCTTTGTAATGTGACACATTGATTTGAATTTCAATGTTCATTATTTTGAAATTCAGACGGTCCACCTCACGAAATTTATGTTACTGACAAAGAGAACATAGCGTTATCTTCAACCTTTCCTAAATTGTTTTACCCACATGCTCTTTAACGACGATATTGTCCGCACTTGACAGGATTCGCTTGTGTTTCAATTCAAACACTGCGGAAGACATATTGTATTATAAATTTAGATTGTGAAAGCTTTGATTAAAAAATTGGCTGTGACGGCTGTTTTCGCAAGTTATCGTAAATGAGTTTCCTCGATTAAAATATTGACAAATAAAAGATACAAATAAAAGTTTTGTCGTATCAGATATTATGAAAGTTGTTCAACAAATACAGAATCATTTGACCTTACCTTCGATATTTGTGATTCCTACCTCTATTTCAGTTAGCCTAATGTTCGTGATCGATATGCAACTCTTTTCAATATTCATGATTCATGTAGCACTACATCTCGCCATTTACGATTCCAAGTTTAAACACTAAAAAATTCACCATTCTGTTTAATTTGACCGCGTTGACTTATGATTCCGCTTACAAACCCGCAGATTTTAACAACATGGCCGGATTGGAAAAGTAGCTTGACCTTTGACGAGCGAGCAAGACTTAATTTATTTCGATGCCATTCTAATATAATTATGTGACTTGTTCAATTTTTTTCTTGTCAAGTAGACGGAAACGTGATTGTTGTTATCGGTGGTGATGACAATTACAGGAACGAAGAGGAAGAGGAAAGAGCCTTCGTCTCGCGTTGGGCAAGAATGAAGGTACGTTCCCAGTTAAAGGAAGAATTCCTCGACGGACGAAGAAGTTTCATCTTTTCATGGGACAGGAAACACAGAGCAATTCACGAACAAGCACTGAAACATTACTTTGATCCAAACAAGAAAGGACAAAAGTTTGAGTATGAGCCACCAGGGCGTCTCGAGCCTTCTTTAAGAGATCCAACGGCTCCGGTATCACGAGATACAGAACTTGCACACCAGCCCAGGCTTCAACGCTCCGCCACCCTAATCGAAGGGAGAAGTAAACAAGAAATAATAGACAGGTGGGATCAGCCAAGTTCCTTGCAAAAAGATTACACAGTGACAAGGCAAAGAAGTGAGGATATTCGCGCTTGTCAGCAACCTAAACTGAACGTACACCCCGATCCCCTTGCGGCAACCGCTTTTTCGACTTCGGATTACGGACGCTCATCACTAGAGAACCGATCTGAACAGAACAGAGTGCAAAGGGATACTACCATGAAGGAAACACGTCTGGTAGAAGGTGAGAACTACTACGACAGATTACATTTTCAAAAAACATGAACGAGAATCATGATCAAGACAATTACAATAGCCAGAAAAATAAATATTAGATACCGGAACAAAGATAACGATAATAACGTTTGTCCAAAAGAACAACAATGAGAAAAACAACCCCAGCACCACGAGACATATACAATATTAACCAAACAAGCCAAAAATGACCGATTATGAAGATGGAGATATGTCAGAAATGGCAAGAGAAACAAAACAATTGCGAAAATAATTTGAATTATTTAAACGCATTATAACATGAACATCAGTTAAGCTTTGTTAGATGGTGCTGGAAATTTCTTAGATACCTCTAAGAGGTTCATAAACTTTCTTCCTTTTCATTCTTGACCCTAAAAATAACGTTTTATGCTCATTAACACAAATAGATGTGGCTGCATATTCTGAACTGGACAACAAACCACAACAACTGTCAGTACGAACAGATAGGGTCATAGAAGGGGAACGTAAAGTGAAAGGTAAGAACAACTGGTGACTCTCTGAAAAAAGACAACACTGGACAGCAATGGACAACAATGAACGACCGCTACGAGAGCAGTATGTACCATTGCAACGACTTCAACGAAAGCAACAATAAGTCCTAAAGACGCTGTTTCATTGGTGTCTCGTAGTCATTATATCACGATTTTTAACCTTATAAATCAATTTTTAATCCTGACTCAATAGCAGCTTTTTCTGTGAACTTCAGCGCTTTTCTACATATAAAATGGTACTATAGGTTCCTTCGAGTCGTACATTCATGGTTACGGCAAGTGCCAGAAACCCGAAATGCTGGGATTGATAACGCACTTTGTGGTGGAAGTGCGAACAACGAAATGAAGCCTTTAGGCCAGTATTGAAATTTTAGCATTTATTAGGGTAGTGGAAGTGCGAACAACAAAGTGAAGCTTTTAGGCAAGTACTGATTTAACGTTCAAGTTAACATTTATTAGACTATAGTGGAAGAGCAAACGACGAATTGAAGCTATTTGGGAAGTATTTAAAGTTTAGTATTTATTTGACTAAAAGCGATTGGTTTTTTAAAAATAAGTGTTGTCAAATGGTTTTGGGTTTTGCAAAACGAAGTTTTAATTACAGTTCTCTTTAATTCTCTAGACTTAGTAGTCCTTGGCTGTGATGTGTCACCGGCAACAATGCAGGTTGTGAAATCAGTAATCGATGACCTTCATCGTAGGATAAGGCTGCCAGAATATCCCCAAGTGGAAAGTTATTCATTAGCTGACATCAAATCGTACTTAACGAGATACACTCTTAGGTTCTGTATTCTAGTGGTGGATGCCGATGCGTCTCATAAAATCCAGCAGCCTGAGTTGGAAGAACTTCTCAGGACAGCAGCTGAAGTTGTTGGTAAGAGGATTTGATAATAGCACAAGAAAGTGAAAATACGTATATTTTGCACAATCCTCTGTTGCAGTAGCCTGTTCATAAAAGTCAGAAGAATCATTTCTTTGTAGTTGAAATATTTTAGTGTAGCAAATACTCAGTTTAATGCAAGGTGTAAATGAAATAAACTACTTGAGAACATCATCCAATGATTAAAAAAGGCCAATAGACACCTCATCTGCTATTGAAAAGTTATTTTTAAATATTGTAGCTCACTATGATCCCTGCTTTAAAATTTGTCCCCATATCTGATACGAAAACGAAGATAACATAAATCACCTCATCCACATTTTGGCCATGTACTAAACCTAGTCTTAGATACTATTTTTTCGCCGGCGCAATTAACAAGAATTACTAATACAATATAACTATTTGCTTCAATTTGCAGTTGAAAAGGTTATCTTTACAATATGCAATCGATGCCATGCTCCTACTGGAGTGGCAGAGAAATTTGTACAAAACGTTGAGCGTATGCTTAAAGAGAAAAGAAAGGGCCTTGTCGTTTGGTTGGAGGATGGAAAACTGAACGTAGAACCCGATGTCATGATACAATTAATGCTTGGAGCCCCAATAGCGGTGAAGAACAGACAAGGACAGATAAGCCACTCTGGAGAATCCCTCAGACCAACCAATGCTGCCTCAGGTTTTTCATCTGACAGGAGACTGGTTCATGAGACACCAAAGCACATGGGGGGGTTTCCATCACAGGAATTGCGTCATAATCCTACTTCTTATTCGGGAGGAAAGTACCACACAGTACGACCAGATGCATATTCAGCAGTAGTTAATGACTACGGAGAAGAAGGCATGGATTCTAGCGATTTTCTTATGCTCAAAACACGAATCCGTCATGGGAGAATATCATATGCTACCGAAGATCTTGCGTTTCGTTATCCTGATTGGGTAATTCCGGAAAAGATAGAGGAAGACTTGAGGTGGAATTATTCAACGACAGCTAACGGAGTGCTAAACATTTATTCTAACACTAAAGGCGAATTACGAGCCACCGTACAAACTGATAGAGCGGTCATGTGTTTGATTATTTAAAAGACAGATCAACACAGCCTCTTCGTCAGATTTAAACAAAGTGAATATGATAGAGGCCTTTTCTGATCAGTCTTTTATTTCGTGCAACATGCGGAAATTTAAACTTGATATTTTATATGGTAGAATAGAACAAGGTTATGTACATTGAGACACGGACGCAAAGCAAAGCGGATCAATAAATTGCCGCACCTAATGATTCAAATCCTCACTATCTTACATTTTGTAAGCTTGATAATACGAACCTAGAAGCCAAAATACTAGAAAATTAAACAATAGCGGAATGATAAATTCCTAATTCGATGGGTTAACTTATGATACGAGCGGACATTTTTCTCTTCGCTCGTATTTTTCCTCGACCTTGCGCACATTTCACGGAAAAAAATACGATTTAACCTGCGCAATGTCCGCGTTAAACCATCGAAAAAGGTGTGATTATTATTTCAGATATACATGTTATATATGAAATGAAGTGAATTAGGCGAAGGTCCCTGTTTGCTTGTCATAATCACGGTGCATTGCAACCTCCGTGAGCTAGAACATTCGAGTGAGCTTGTTATAACGAGTTCCGTCCGAGATCTTAAAATGACTGTATGACTCTATAAAACTCATTAATATGTCTAATCGTCTTTTAAACAGAGTTATTCAGATACAACTTTTATTATACTATTACCTTGAATCTCTAGACTTAAATAACTTCGTTGGCGTTCAGGAACCTTAAACTGGGGATTTAAAACATAAAATGATCCTTGCTAGATGCTAGCAGTTTTTATTCAATCAGTTTTCTTCGACTTGTGACAATTTTCCATATGATGGCAAGGTTCTAATTTTCTTTATTTGAGACCTTGCATCCTTGATCAGCGATCTGAAACACTTTGAAAATCAAATATGACACAATAGATTTCTAAGAATTGTTGTGCGATGACATTCAATGTTTGTCAGAATCAGTAGCATTAAAAGCTATTAATTAAGAGACAATGTGAATTCAATAAAAGTGGCGAGCAGTCGCTAGATCTCTAAGAAAGAGTGACCTTTTCAGGCGTAGTAAGTTGGACATCGAAACATAGGTTTTTGAGGAAATTTCTGGTACAGACATTGCTGCAAGCTATCTCGGAAGCCATATCACCTTTTTCCAACTGTTGCATGCTTTTCTCACGGCCTAACTCGAACTTAATGATAGTCACAGGGAAATTTCTTTAATTCCCAAACTGGGTTAAAAATGGTAAATTTATGGGTTATATTTGTGATTTTGGTGGGAATTCCCCAAAATGGGAAAATTCTACCAAAGCCAATCTTGGGTTTCATAAAACCCAATATAACTCCAATAATGGGATTATATAGACCCAACAAGACCCCAAGAATGGGATTAGACTGACCCAGCATAACCCCAGGAATGGGATTATACTGGCCCAATGTGACCCCAAGAATGGGATTATACTAACCCAATACAACCCCAAGAATGGGATTAGAATGACACAACAAAGCCCCAGGAATGGTTTTGCACTGACCCAATGTGACTCCAAGAATGGGATTATACTAACCCAATATAACCCCAACAATGGGATTTGACTGACCCAACATAACCCCAGGAATGGGATTATACTGACCCAATATGACTTCAAGAATGGGATTAGACTGACCCAATATAAACCCAAGAATGGGGTTATACTGACCCAGTGTGACTTCAAGAATGGGATTATACTGACCCAATATGACTTCAAGAATGGGATTAGACTGACCCAATATAAACCCAAGAATGGGGTTATACTGACCCAGTGTGACTTCAAGAATGCGATCAGATTAACCCAATATAACCCTAGGAATGGGGTTATACTGACCCAACATTTTAACCCCGAGAATGGGATTAGACTGACCCAATGTGACCCCAAAGAATGGGATTAAACTGACCCAACATAACCCCAAAGATTAGAATAAAATAGAATATTGCAAACAGTAAGGAGCAATATTTAATTACCAGAGTGATAATTATTACACTTAAATTTAAGGCAACATGCAGTACAGTCTACAAACTTTAAATTCTTGCCAAAATGAAACAATAAATAGTTTCAAAATGCATTACAGAATCCTGTAAACAAGTTACACAAAGAAACAGAATTAGTACCTAAATAAGGCACTAAATATTGTAATGTTTTTGCCTTATCTATTTAAATGCAACTCTGAGAAGTAGTAGCTTTCATATTTTTAGCTAAATCAATGTACTTCATTACAAACTGGAGTAAATGACACCTTTTTTTTCTTCCTTTCCTCATTTTAGTTAGTAGGGTTGACATTACTTTATTGTAGAGCTGCATGAGGGGCATTGTGTACTGATTTCTATTATAAGATAAAATACTAGGCAGTTTCTTTAGAACTACTAACCAGCAAGTTACAAGCAGTTAAGAAGTCCAAGCAGCTACATATTACAATGAACAAAAGAAGAAAAATGATCAGAGATTTACTACAAAACTTTTTCCAAGTACCAAACAAATACCAAATTCAGAGCTACAACCATTGTTTTTTGATAATCAAAAGCAACATTTGAGCTAAGTTTGAATCAGGTTTACCAGATGATGAATGAATTGCTTTAATTCAGCATGAACTTTAACTTTAGCATGTCAATAATGCTTTCCTGTCCTATCAACAGAAAATAAACAGTTTTTTAAACGGCTATTTCTTTATGAACAGTAACATCAGACAGAGAGCTCACATTTTCCTTGAGAGTCACATATTTGTGCTTAACAAGTTTCTTAACTAAAACTGACATCACTTGGCTAGGGGTAAGATTTGTCAAGTTATTTTGTTTGACAGAAAACTTTGATTTCAAAATCCCAACAGCTTCCTCCTTTGTCAAAACTTTTCTAAAAACTGCTTTAATCACAACTTGTGAGGAAGCTATTGTGGAAGGGACTTTAACTTCTGATGCAGGACTTCCCGCACTACAAAATATAGGGGTCCTCAGAGACTCAATGGAGTCACTACTATCATAAGGAGAGAGAGTTGATAATGATTCTCCACTGTCTGAAAAATTTTGTGCAACACTATCCTAAGAAAGGTAAATAAATAAAAACAGAGTTGTTAGAGTACTCAATCATGTTAAAAACAGTGACTGTCAACCAATGACATTTATGGTTTCAATCACCATGGCAACTGATCTGGCTCAACCACTTTTGAAACTTAACAAGTGATACTGAAGAAAGGTGATCAGGGCTATCAGTAGGGTCTACTACCTATATTTTTTTCTAAACCGTTGTTGCAGCTGAGTACATGAGACCTTGACATTGAACTTATTAAAAAACCACTCTGTCAAAGGGTGCTACAATATGTGTGACTGAAATATTAACTCTTCAACCCATAGGAGTGAAAATGGCCAACACTTATTTCTCCTTTGAGAACACACAGTGAATCAAACATCAAGGTTGCAAGGAAAAAAGGGAATGTATAGCAGTATAGGCAACCCAAACATTTCTAAAATAATGAGGTGTTCATGTATGTATAAATCACTAACAGTTTTGCAAACAGTACCAAAGGTGCTAATTAAAGAGGACCCATTTAGCAGCAGATGATTGATGTGCAAAGTAGTAATTTCACAGCTGTTCAGAGTATACTGTACTCTGGTCATCCACCTAAAAGAACTGCTCCTGAATGTAGTTGTGGAGCAAGTAATATTCTGTAACTGGGCCTGGAAAATTGAACTAAATCCTAAATTATGCTCTTCTCCTTAAAAAGAGTCATTAATATATATAAAAATATGACCACCATATATAACCCACGTCCTAAAAAGGAAAAGCTGGTGGAATGCGGGAATAAGGCAGTGCGAGGAGTTTCACACACAGTTCAGTGTAGCTTAGAGCTGGGAATTCCTTGTAAATTTGACTTCAAATATCAAAACAAACAAGCTATATTTCAATGACTATTCTTTGGACATTTTAAATTATCCTCAAAGCACAAAGAGAGTGTCTTACGATAAAATCTATTCTTAAAAAGACAGGTTACTACGCTTGTTTGAGAGGTCGAAGTAAACAAACGTACGTTCGAGGAAAACAAGTCGGAAGTCGCTGGCCATTCAGAAGTAACTTAGGGCTCAATTTCAAACGGGACTGCTGAAGCTCGTTAAAGTTTCTACAAGTTTCTTTTTAAGCTTACCTTGGAACTTCTGGGCGACTTCATCACCGAAAAGCTTTGTCATGCGGTCGATGATAGAGTCTTTCTCCGCTGACTCCGAAGTCTCTGATTCTGACATCCTCGATAACACCTTGAATTTAATTTGCAGTCTAAAAACAACAGCTCAAAAGCCAACCTTAAATTTCGGACTAATTCAAAAAGCAAGGACGAGAAAGGGGTAGCCTCGACTGACTTACTTCCCAATTCCCTCGACTTGGTGAACTAATGCGTTTTTAATTGTTTCCCGCCGTTTCGATGCAATTTCATAAAACAGATTCCCCTATTGGTAACAATCAGTAATGCGTCTATAACACAAATATGCTTGGCGAGAGAAGAATGGGTCAAGTGCTTAGTAGCCATGTCTGCTTCTGCCATAAATATGATAGGCTTTCGACGGACTCATTTAAAGGACTGTTTGTACAAGAAATAAAAATTATGAACGCTTGGTTGAGAGAAGACGTATTAAAGTAATGCACCAAAGGCCCTGTTACTGTGAAACTGTTCCAAAATACTATTTTCTCAAGGTATCCTAAGGAAACTGATGGAATTGAATCGCCCTGAAGTGAAAATATGAATGAGGACCTGTACTCTGTCGTTAGCATAATGTGTGATTAATCAATTCACCTCCAAACTTAAAAGTCATGAAATTTTACAAGCAAGTGAAATGTTGTAAATGTTAACTAAGTGTTATTTCTAAGACTTGACACGCGAGACTAGAATATATCAGTGTTTTCGGGCAAAGCTTGGAATCGTTCACTTGGGTTATAAAATCCATTGCAATTTTCAGAATAATATAGGGTAAAAATTTCTGCAATTTATTCTCAATCGGGGGGGGGGGGGGGCAATGTTTACTTTGTAATCCTTATTTTTGGAGAACTTGGACAAATGTGCTCTTTATTCATAATTTTGGGAATGGCTATGACTTGGATATATTTACCTGGTTAAATCCCACATCAGGAACTAACTTGAAAAAATGTTCCCTTTTTATTCACATTGAATATTATTGGCAATAACTTTGGAGAGTATTCCCCTTTTATTCTCAAATATTCCCATTTTATTTCCAAATCTGGGAATAACTTGGGGAAATGTTCACTTTTTCCCGAAGGCTGGAAATAACTTTAGATATTTTTCACTCTTTCAGGAATAACATGGGAAAAATTCACAGCTTTTTCCCAAAATTGGGGTACAAAAGAAAGCACTTTGTCTTTCCCAATGAAAACCCATTTAACAGGTGTTGTGAAACAGCTACCTCCCAAAATAATCCCAAAAAAGGAATTTCTTGTCCCAGCTTTTCCCCAACATTGGGAAAATTTCCCACTTAAATCCCAACTGGAAATCTTGAAAAGTTTCCTGTGAGTGTTACATCAATAATGTCATTACAATGATTACTATTTCCACAAGTATTCAAACTCAGGAGTAAAGTGAACTTTGCCATGCGTCAAAAACACAGTTTTCAGTTATCTATTTTCTGAGAAGTGGTGGACGTTCTGCTCCAAAAAAAATATGTATACTATATTACTTTTGGGTTGCTAATGAAAATTTGTTGAAAAATTTTGCAACTTTTAAGGCTCAGAGCATTGTGCAACATCCTCCCAAAAACGGTCCGAACCAGTTTCGGACTATAATCGTGGCTATTTGGTTCTGGCGAACTACAAACTTTACTCTAAGGTTGGTTTCTTTTGCGTGAATATTTCTTAGATGCTCCCTGTAGCCTTCCGGTACCTGCCATCCGTCCACTCTAGACACCACATCTCTCGTGTCGTCTGAGACTTCCCCATTGCGAAGCCTAGTATCTAGAAGCACTGAACCTTCTGGGTAATTGAGGGGCAACCCTGGTAGAGCAAGAAAAAGAACACATGACAAAATTGGGATCACATGGTAGATCAGACAATATAAACACAGGACGAATACGCTTCACAGACTAAACATTCATACAGAATTCTCTTGCATGTAATTCTGTAGCCACAAGAGCTCGAGTAGGTCTGATATGTACTCTAGTGGAAGTGGTGGGGAGGGGGTGGGAAGCTATATCAACGCCCTATCTGCATTTCGGAGCATTCTAGGATTAAATATTGTTATAAGTAATTACATGTTTTGAAACTGAAAGAGCGAGGTCACCTTGTCAGTGGAATCCCTCCTTCTCAGTTATGTGCCTTAAAGTTATATTATCTCATGAGGTATCCACTATGAGTCGGGAAATGAGTCGTCTTGGATCAGGGAATGAAATTATTCGGTTTGAACATTCTATGCTCGAAAAAATGATTGGGTCAAAATGAATTGAATTTATCTCACCATAGGTAATAGGGAAGTGTTAAAGGAACTTAAAGATTAATTAAATGTAGCCTTACCTGACGGAATCTGATCATGATGACCCACAACCACTACTACTTCCTCCTTGTCCTTGTTGTAAGATGCTTCAAATTCATTTACATATTGGACCTATATTTTCAAAGTCATATATTCATAAAACATTTCAACGTTACAATGTTTCTTTCCCATTTTGCAATGAATACCATTTCCTTGAATTGTGTAATATGCACCCACATATTAATATGTAAGCTGATTTTACCAAAATTGATTTAGTATCTCTATTGGTAAACATGAAATAAGTGTTTTATGGCAGCTCTCTCTCTCAGTGAATCGTTTTATTTGCGGTTGCATTAACCCTTTAACTCCCAAGATCTTATTTGTTAATTCTCCACTCTAAATGCTACACATTTCCTTGTAAATTAGTTATAAGAACATGGTGCTAGATCAAGATAGCAGCTTCTACCTGATAAGTTTGAATATTCTCATTACCTGTTTGCTGAATAATGTATGGATATTGTAGGGAGAAGTTTCATGTTGATCACTTCTGGGAGTTAAAGGGTTAAGGACCCCTGGATTGCCAATTCACACAAGCAGTCCAGGGGGCAGTCTGGTTGGCATTTTGAGCCTAAATTTGTAAAAGATTGTAAAGCACATACAATTTCAGCTAATTTAATTTTCTTTACAGTATTATACCTGCAAATAGACACAACCCACAACCTCGCTGATGTGGCATATGGTTTGCATACCATAATTAGAAACTTTATGGTTAAATATTGATGAAATTCTTCATGGAGGGTTTCTTCACTAATTTCATGCCCCCCCCCTACCCTCCTCACACATCTTTTTGTTTTATTAATAGAGTAAGCGAAATATTCCTAACAATAACACCACACAAACTATCCTACAAACCTATTGAGTGATTTCAGTTTTCACTTTACTGTGTTGCCATAGCAACGGAATACTTTTGTGGATGGTTTAACATGGAATAATGTCAACTGTATTCATCATAAAGAAAAAAGCCTCGATAGCTTTGTCGAACCGCCTTTCATAGGTAACTAAGCCATCATTAACAGAGAGAGCATCGGCAACAATAAGGAAGCATAATTTATAAGCTGCGTCACCACAAATGCAGTGTTGGTTCAAATGCGTCGATTAATCAAGACTGCCGTGTATAATGTGTGAAAGAACAGAATTTCAATTTAACACTCACGTTATCCGTTGGATACAATGAAATATATTCTGGACCGTTGGACGGCGTCGATTGTGTCCTGTCTGGTTGAGGATTTAGCTCCTGATCATTTTCCTCAGCTGTTGCAATTGCGATAGAAGTGTCAGCTGGTAGATTCATTTCTGGTGGATGATAATCAAACTTTTCTCCCACCTTGCTTGGTTCAAAAAAGTGTAGAAGAGCCCTCTCGTGAATCTCTCGGTGGTTCTTGTGCCAAGAAAAAATGAAACTTTTGCGTCCGTCAAGATATTCCTTTTCGAATTGTGACGAAACTTTTCTCCAAGCCCAACGTGATATGACAGTTTTTTTTTCCTCTTCTCTCCCCTCATAGTTGTCGTCACCACCTATAATGATTAAAACTTTTTCGCCTAATGGCAACAAACAGTATAAAAATTAGTAAAATTCAACTATTGAATGTTGAGCATTCGTTGATATGAATTTGCGGACGAAACCGAAACAGAATTAGCATTTGTAACAATGTAAAGTGGGCAACCATATTTCATTTTGATACTGTGGTGGGGAGGGATTCGAGTTAACCGTGTTAGAGTTAGCGGAGTTTCACAATTATTGTAAAGAGAACTTAATAAATTTTAAGTTGATGCGTAAATAATGGTTACATAAAGAAGTGAAATTAAAAGCTTAAAATTAAAAAATAACAAGACGATACAAACTATTTCGGTTTGAACGGGGCTAAGAAGTTTGACCTTTGAACAATCCAGCAATGTGGGTCGAAACTCACATGATGATTAGCTCTAACATTGTCCGATCGATCAGGTAACGGATCATAATCTTTGCGTACATACTGGTTCTCTATCAAAAAACAACGTTCACACTTCCGTCCAAATAATCTAACGCAAGACTCACCGGTCGCTCTCAGCAAATCTTTGTAGATCGTCGCGTAACCAATGCCAGCGTTGTCTTCGTTGATAGAGAGTCGAGATTCATGGGCATGAACGACAAATACGGCAAAATCCATCCTAAGAGAGGGAATTATGCTGTCACTTAGAGAGGACATCTCCGAAAGTTTGAAACAATGCTGCTTGATCGATATTTCGAATTCAACTTTGCCTTTCACTGTAGCCAAGAGTGTTTCTACTGAATCCAGTTTGAAAGTGTTGTCACAATTAAAAAGGTGAACAGTCTTACAGTTTGGAACTTGAATCTCCATGCTTTATGAAACCAGAAAATAGGGAAGATCCACAAATAAAGAAATAGTTAATCATATGAAATGGCTTTGTCAGTTTCGGTTTCGCAAAATATATCCATAATTCATTATGGGCCGGCTTAGTCACGCAACGTAATCTCTGTTGATGTGCCGCAAGCAAAAATGTCAGTATCTGGGCAACTGCCCACCTACCCCTCCCCTAACTCAACAATAGTCAATTGATAACAATCCAGGGTTAATGTTGGGTTAGGGGAGGGGTATTGATCCAATTTTTTTTGGGGATCACTTTCTAAAAGAGCTTAGAAACCAGGCTCAACTCAGTAGCCAAGCCTACTGAATTTGTGCCCCAAGCCTTTCCATTCTTGCGTGACATTTGTTGCCACTAATTCATGTCGTCACACTGGAGAATACAGGGAACATCGGCGTGTAGTAAACACAAGCTCAAATTTTTAAAGCAGTAAAGTGAAAAACGTTTCGAGACCAAAAGGTAAGTAAGTATTTTTAGTGTTTTACAACCTGAATTTAGTGTTTTGCTTTGTAATTTTACAACGTACAGTAAATTGTCAAATTGATAACTCGTAAAGCCTTCAGCTAAAATCTAACTCTTGATTAAAAACTTTATACTTCCTTGACATGATATCGCAATTAGCGATAACACCAGAGATCATTTACTTTTGTGATATTAACTATACATTTATCTAACTTGTTAACGTACGCTGCCATGAAATAATGTACTGAGCAATAATCAATTAATCTGAATACACAAAGGAAATTTTTAATCTGCAAGAAGAAAACTTTTTTACAGAAGAATCCTTTTTCTGTAACATGTACAGCTGTTGCTTAAGTTTGCAATGTTACTGATATTTTTATCATAAGAGCATTTTCACAAAATTATTTGACATTGGATTATCATACAAATACCGCAAGGTCACACCTGCCCACCAACCTATCAAAGTGGTGTTGAAAACTGCAGTAAGGTCTATTGAATATAGTTAAAGTACTGAATTTCACACCATGACTTATAACTACAGAATATGGGGCTTTTTTATGATTATGTACCAAACAAAACAAAACAAACTTTCTCGGCTCATTTGCATCAAGCCACCTAATATAGTGCAATCAATGTCTTGTTTTTGTATCCCAAGTCAGTGCTGAGTCAGAATTTATATTTAAATCTTAATTAAAATAATTTAAATCCAACTGAATGCATTTCTTTTATTACTTTTCCACTGACCGCCAAACCAGCAAGCCACTTGCTTGAGGCATTAAACAGCGAGGACAGGAAAGGCCCTGTATTGTATACATGTAGCTGCTTTTGGGAAGGGGAGAGGTAAAGTTCCAAATTTTTTTAAGAGTATGTAACACAATAATAATAATGATAATAATGATGATGATAATAATAATAATTCATTTTTTCCATTCTTTGTTACAAACACATCTGACCTAGAGTAATTAGTGGAACATACCAGAATAACCTTTTTATTAATGCAAGGCCTCAGTGGTATGAAAATAATTTTCTCTTGTGTGAAGCATCAGTCAATTTAGAAATTACCAAGTGTAAAATTTCAAGTCAATATGGTCCAGAAATTATTCGGTTTGCGTACTGTTTTCACTCTTTGCACCCCGAGCACTCATACACGCACACTTCAGATGGATGCGCAACACAACAGCGTCAAAAAATAATCAAGCAAATGACTAAGATGTGCAAAGCTTCCAGGAATAATATAAATTTACCCCCATAAACAGTGAAAAGGCCTTACAGATTTTACTTGTAGCTTCTTTAAAAGTACAACTTCCTATGACGTTCTAACAAGATTATTGAGTTGTCAAATACGTATTTTGATATGATTGATACCAATTAATTCATAAAGTTGAAATAAGCTTAATGTCAAGAATAAATAAAGGCCTACTCTGAGACCTTAAGTCGCCTAAAGTCACCTAAAGTCACCCTAAGTTCCCTTAGGTTGCTATTGGTTACACAATGTTATAAGGGTTCCACCCTTCCCAATTGACCTATCCACCCCACTCCAATCATAAGGATCAGAGAAGGAGACATGGTGGCTGAATGGTTGTGCACTGGATTCAACATTAAGTGGTCCAGTTTTAGTCTCTAGCATTGGAGCATTGCATCTTGTTCTTGGGCAAGATACTGTAAGCTTCAGAGTGTCTCACCTATTCTGGATGTAAATATGGGTACTGGTTGGGGGGGAGGTAACCCTGCATATGAATTATTGTGAGGATGGCAATGGCTTTCATATACATGGAAACCCCTTGTGAAAATAGTCATACACCTGTCTAGCCCCTGTGCTGGCATGTTATTTTTAATTGATTATGTGGAAAATTTATGGATAGTTTCATGAAAATCGTGTCTCTTTTCTTAAATTAAAAATTATTACTATGTGTATATTTATGATCGGCTTGATTGATGTTGGGCATATAACTCATGTTTTCCTGGCTATTTATTTACTAGCTTTGACTGTATAATTTTACAATAACTATTGTGGTGATTCTGTCTGAACATTTTTAGCTAATTTGGTTTCCTGGCTATTTATTCACTAGCTTTGATTGTATAATTTAACAATAACTGTTGTGATAATTCTGTCTAAGTATTTTTAGCCAAATTGATTTGAAATCTGGATATTTTAGACTATGGTGACTTCAGTCAAATAAAATCGCTTTAAGTCGCCTTAGTCGCCTTAAATCGCCTTAAATCGCCTAAAGTCGCAATTTTTTGTGTGCCAATTTTGCTAAAGTCGCCTTAAGTTGCCTTAAATCGCCCAAAGTCACCTAAAGTTACGGTGACTTAAGGCCCAAGAGTAGGCCTAAATAAGCGGATTACTACACTTATGACGAATTTTGTGGTTCATTAAAAAAAGTACTTGGTTTAATTAAGTGGCTCAACGAAAGGTTAATGTTGTTTGCCTGCTGTAATTTTATGTCTTCCAGACCAATGTTTATGTCACCGCTACTTTGACGTGCTAAAATAATATTGAATACATTTTCAAGACCTGTTCTCAATGAGGTGCACTTCCTGCGATTGTGTTGCAATCCAGCGAGTCCTTCGGAAAACATGTCATCGAGAGCAGAGCTTGTAAGACACTATTCAGAAAGCAAGTATTTCCTAGGTTTGAAGTTCCCTTTGGTTCCATTTGACCGTGAGTAGTGTTTAGAATTAACGAAGAAAGCCTATTTTAGCCAAAAGCAGAAGATTCGTACATGAACGGAGCGCAGCGAGGTAAGTTAATATTCTTTCCCGCGAAAATTACAAAAAAAGGGTTAATAAATAACTTCCCATTTGTTTTTTCACGCGCAAGTAACAAAAATGTTTCCTTCCCTGTCACCCCTCCAATCGCACTTCAACCAGTCTGGGGAGGTGAGTGTAGAATTGTTGACATGTCATCAGAAGGCTTGGTTACCTGACTGAGCCTTGTGTCTAAGCTCCTTTAGAAAGTGATCCCAAAAAAAATTTCTTCGTGCCGCAATGAAGTCGTAAAATAGGACATGGTATTGATGAGTTGATTGAGGTTTACTAAAAATGTTTCTTTTGTCAAAATTTTCATATTTTTACCGCTCACATGTAACAATGCAGCTTATTTAAGCACTAAAGAGCAAGCTATTTAGAAGGAAGACACTTTTGCAGCCTGTTATCTTTTGAAATGTAGCAGTTATGAACGATCAGTTGTTGCAACATCGTGGATTTAGGAGGAATTTTTCATTGTCTTTAGAAAATTTAAATAATAGTGCAAATTAAGCACCCCTTGATGTCATGTGATCTAATATATCCTATAATATTTTCATCTTATATGAACAAGAATTAATGCTCTTTGTGAACCTATATATGGTTCTGAGAGGGTTCCATGCACTTTATTTGCTTTGCAAGCATTGTAACGCATTGGGCTTGTATACTCTCTCAAAATAACTCTACCCAGACCCGTTGCAACAGTAAACATAATGAATTACTACAGACTGCCACTCAAAGAATTAGCTTAAGTCAAGGAATTGGCGCATATTTATGAAAAGGATTGGGCACTGGTTCCATACATGGATTAACTCTAATGGAGGACTCCACCGTAAATAAAAAAAGAACGATATAAAATAAAAAAAAAACTCTTAATACGTCTGTAAGAATCCACCAGTAGACCTTTTACTAATTAAACCACTGTAGTGATTCGATTTGGCGTGCGTAGCACTCATTTAATTTTGGTATCTCAAAGGACGACGCTCATTCGAAATAAGACGCTTATTTTCCTTTCGAGAAACAACAAAATGTTCAAAAATAGTGCTATCCCTGAAACAGAATAGAGGTGCTTATTGATATCAGGGCACTGACCGTGGCGGGTGAGCATACTGGAATGGGGTTGGTCGCTCAACAGGGGTACTTATTAGAATAGGGGTGCTTGTCAAAAATGACAAATTCGAGGGTAGGGGGGCTATTAGAGAGTGAGCGGTTATTGGAACGAGAGACAACGAGGGGCACTAAATCGAATCATTACGCTACTCCCTTTCTTTCAGCCCTTGCATTCCATGACATGACTCTGTTCACAAGTTCACAGAAAACACACCAACTTTATCCGAAGAACAGTCATTTATAAAGCGTAAGCCATTAGGATCTATTAGATCTACAAAAGGAAATGTTTATACGTCTAAGCGGTGTGAAGGAGCAGCAAAAGGTCCTCTTGGGGTGCTTAAGTTACCTCTGGATCCGGTTAAGAGACCGTAAACTTCTGACCATTCTTGCCGGGATCAAAGTAACGCAGAAGTGCTTCTTCATGGATTGGCCTGTGTTTCTGGTTCCAAGAGAAGATGAAACTCTTTCTCCCATCCGTGAGATCAGTTCGAAATTGAGGGGATATATTATCCTTTGTCCATTGGGAGCGGAGCAACTGGTCTTCGCTCTTACTTTTGTAATTTTTGTCCCCACTAATGATGATCAAAACTTTTTCACCTCGAAAGAAAAAAAAACTGGGACAACATTACATGTGAGTTCAGGGTGACTTCATTTAAAAATTGACATAGGATGTGTAAGGTTAGAAGGGATTACTAATTGACGAAGGTCAACTCTCCATAATAAAGATGGCGGCCAGTTGCGTTTTGTAGGGTTTTCAATTTCAACTTTCTTAAATGCCAGGCTAGAAAAAGAGCTGCTTCTAGAATTCAGATTTGTTAGGGTAACCGTCGGAAACATCGCTGGCCTATCCTCAGAACAAAGATAGGACAATTAATGAAGGGAAATTGTGTTCACCTCAGTTGTGTTTTATGCGAGCTCCTGTGTCTGCTAATTTCTAATATTCCTAGGAAATGCCCTTGTTGGTGTGACAACGACTCTGTGAATTTCTCCACTTTTGTTACCAAACACCTTCAATTTGGCAACGGGTGTTGACTTCCATTTTTGTTCCAAATCTTTTGCGTCTTCTTCAGAGGGTTGCCAGTTTTCGACCCGGGTCACCACGTCCTTGCTTTCAAACGAAATCTTTCCATAACGCATGCGTGTTTCCAGCAGTAATTGTTCGTTATCAATGCTGATGTGCGGATCGGAAACTGGAAAAGTATAAACAGGAAAATGCATTTAGTGGTTAGTGACATGTAATGTTTCGGTATCTTGAAAATATGTTTACATAGTAGGTATGTTAACCATGGTCACCCAATAGCCCAAAACGACTGAACTATCCAGGTGATGACTGGAGAGAACAATTGCTAAGGAAGAAGTATTTTGGGGATGGTGCCATTAGTCCCATCTATTTTCGGTATGCGTACAAATGTTTTACTAGTTTCCAAAACATGCGGTTCTCAATGGATGATTGACTCCTGCATAGTGTGCACCGCAGTCATCACCCTCCAGTTTACTTTTGATTTTTTATTAGTTAAGGGACTTTTTAATGGCATCTTGTTTACATAACTGGGTTATATGAAATGCACAACAAAGCTGTAATCATAGTTGCTCGAGACCCAAATTAAAAAGGACCGACGCAAGGGTTTTGAGAGAGGACACAGCTCAGCCAAGCTTAAACTCGCAAGGAACATCCGGCTTCTTCTGTTTCCTGGGGTCAATACCCATGTCATAGTACTATAACTGTTTTTCTTACCTTGAAGAGCAGATGGTTCACTCTCATCTTCATTTTGTTCTTCCGTCTGTTGTTCGTCAGCATGGTTTTCAGTATCAGAAGGTACTTGTTGAGAGATCTCAGGCGACTGAGTGGTTTATATAAAAAAAAGCAAAAAATAAAACGGATATTTACACAGGGTCTGAATCAATATTTGTGGCTCCGTCTACAACTTTAACCGTAAACTAAAGCGTATTAGTTCATCCGAGGATTTTACTAGTTTGATTTGAGGACGTATTAACTAAAACTTATATCAAACAGTATAATTATGTTTATATCAAAAAAGCAATAAAAACACCAACAGCAGCAGTCATTTATTTTTTGTACCTCAAGGGAGGGCGCTCATTCGAAAGAGGACGCTTATTTATCTTTGAGAAACAGCAAAGTGTTAAAAAAAAGATTTTATATTCAATTAAAAACCTAGGACTAAGAGTCCGGAAAACGGACTCAGTTGTTTTACCTGGATTCTTCGTGAACCTTCCTAGCTACAACAACAAGCCAAGTAAAAATTGTAAGACGAGATCATTTTTTTGAAGGATCTTTGACTGACTCAGGTGAATGTAATACCTGAGAGACTGAGACAAAGACCACTTCCTCTGCAATGAAGTTTTAAGTGTGAAATTAAAGGGAAATGAAGCACGGTTGATCCAATGTACATGTAACATGTATCTAACAGTGCCATCCTTGAAACAGACTAGAGATGCTCGTTGTGAGCATTACTGTGATAGGTGCGCTTATAATTACTGGAATAGGGTTGGTTACTCAACAGGAGCGCTTATTAGAATAGGGGCGCTTATAAACAAAAACAAATTCGAGGGGGGGGGCCTATTAGAGAGTGAACGGTTATTGTAACGCAGGGCACTAAATCGAATCATTACGGTACCCCTTTCTTTCAACCCTTCCCTTCTATCACATGACTCTGTTCACACGTTTACAGCAAACTCGGACCCTCTTTATCAGAAAAACAGTCATTTAAACAGTGTAAACCCCTAGGGTCTATGAACATATATGTTTTACCTCTTGCTGTGAGTCTAAGTGGCGTGAAGGAGCTGCAAAAGGTCCTCTTGGGGGTGCTGACGTTACCTCTGAATCCGGTTGGGAGACCGTAAACTTCTGACCACTCTTGTCGGGATCAAAGTAATGCAGAAGTGCTTTTTCATGGATTGGCCTGTGTTTCTGGTTCCAAGAGAAGATGAAACTTTTTCTCCCATCCACGAGATCAGTGCGAAATTGAGGAGATATGTTATCCTTTGCCCATTGGGAGAGGAAGAACTGGTCTTCTTCGCTCTTACTTTTGTAATTTTTGTCTCCACTAATGACGATAAAAACTTTTTCACCTCGAAAAAAAAAAAGCAAGGACAAATTTATATGTGAGTTCAGGGTGACTTCATTTAGAAATGAATAGTAGGATGCATTAAGTTGGAAGGGATTAATAATTCACGAAGGTCAACTCTCCATAATAAAGATGGCGGCCAGTTGCGTTTTGTACGGTTTTCAATTTCAACTTTCTTAAATGCCAGGCTGCACTTTTGATGTCGTTGACGTTCCTAATCTCGCTTTTTATGCCATAATTGCAGTGATTTCTAAGCTTTAAGACGCAGCTGAAGGATAAGAAGAATAGAGGCAGTCACACTATATTTGACTCATCATCAGTTCGTTTTATCTATGTAAAGTGACACTGTAGCCCCCGCCAAACTCTACTATGCTCGCTGAAAAAAGAAAAAAGGAGAAAAAAGTAGTACAGCACAGCCCTGCTTATTAATGAATGCTTTTTGGGGAGCATTATGTAAATCCGTAGTTCTCAGCCTGCAGTGTTTTGACCATTGTCGTTACGATTGTAAAATGCAAATGCGGACAACAGAACATAATACGTTCTCTACATATGTTGTCTGTTATGATATTAGCTCGAAGTAGTTGCGCCATTGTTCTTCATGATTCGAGGAATTAAGTAATAGACCCGTAGAGAATGTAGTTTGACATCTACACACTAATCATCATGATAAGTCATTTAACGAGGTGTTTCTTTCCTATTGTGTTAGCCTCAATCTTACCTGAGCCGGTTTGCTTCTTCAGAGCCTCATAAATCTTTCCGTACTCACTATCGTCGCTAAAGGAGAGGCAGGCCTCAGCTGCATGAACAACGAATACCGCGTAATCCACTGTCCTTAAGTTTGGAATCGTTTGGGCAACGATTTCCTCGATTTGTCCTCGCCTAAACTCATGTCTCTTGATTTTTAAAATCTTGAAGGGAACCTTGTCTTTAACGGCTTTGAGCAAAGCTTCCATCTCACATAACTTACACAAGTTATCGCAGTTGAAGAGGTGAAAGCTCCTTGACGTATTACTCGCCATGTTTGTTGCTTTCGGTTTTAAGCGGAAGTCCTTGTTTCCGGGAAAAAAAAATTGTCACGCAACAAAGTGATTGGCGAAACGAAATAAACTGGTCTATTTTGTGAATACTGCCCACTTGTGCACATATAATAAAGTCCAGTAATGAAATTTATGACAAATATATATGCAGCGAAATGTTGCAATTTGCTTACTTTTGTTTTATTTCGTCGTATCTCATTAAATAATTTTTATCATCCTTTTAGTCATCTAATAGAGGTTAAGACAGGTTTATGACGCTCTGATGACTACACGCCGGATGAGGGGCAATCAGTCTCTTAGTCGTGGCAACGCCATACCGCATTTTTTTCAAGTTTTTCGGTTGAACTGCTGACTATACCTTAGGGAAATAAAACTTTTATTTACCCAACAACTCCTGGCACCATCATCACCCGCATTTCCTAGTCTGTGATTATTACTACTCAAATAATTTTAAGAATAGGGGTGCTATGTAGCACAAGTACAAGTCGAACATAGCCCAGTCTAAGACCAAAGCATTCTTGGAGGATGTACATGCCAACGTTACAATTAATGTTGATGATAAAATAGGAAAAGAGCTGCATCTAGAATTTCCTTTTGAATTTACATAGCGATACACAGATTTGTAAGGATGACCGTCGGAAACATCGCTGGCCTATCCTCAGAACAAAGGGGGTACAATTAACGAAGAGAAATTGTGTTCACCTCAGTTCTGTTTTATAAGAGCTCCTGTTTCTACTTATTTCTAATCTCCCTACGAAATTGAACACCATGCCTTCTTTGCTGTGACAACGATATTTTGAATTTCTCCACTTTTGTTACCAAACACCTTCAATTTGGCATCGGGTGTTGACTTCCACTTTTGTTCCAAATCTTCTGCGTCTTCTTCAGAGGGTTGCCAGTTTTCGACCCGGGTCACCACGTCCTTGCTTTCAAACGAAATTTTTCCGTAATGCATGCGTGTTTCGAGCAGTAAAAATCCAGATTGTTCGTGATCAGTGCTGAAGTGTGAATCGGAAACTGGAAAAGTATAAACAGGAAAATGCATTTAGTGGTTAGTGACATGTAATGTTTCGGTATCTTGAAAATATGTTTACATAGTAGGTATGTTAACCATGGTCACCCAATATCCCAAAACGACTGAACTATCCAGGTGATGACTGGAGAGAACAATTGCTAAGGAAGAAGTATTTTGGGGATGGTGCCATTAGTCCCATCTATTTTCGGTATGCGTACAAATTTTTACTAGTTTCCAAAACTTGTGGTTCTCATTGGATGATTGCCTCCTTCATGGTATGCACCGCATTCATCACCCTCCAGTTTACTTTTGATTTGTTACGATCATGAGTTAAGGGACGTTTTAATGGCATCTTGTTTTCATAACTGGGTTATATGAAATGTACAACAAAGCTGTAATCATAGTTCCTCGAGACAAAAATAAAAAACGGACCGAAACAAGGGTTTTGAGAGAGGACACAGCTCAGCCAAGATTAACCCTTCAACTCCCAAGACCTGATTGTTTATTCTCCCCTCTAGCTGCTAGACATATCCTTGTAAATAAGTTACGAGAATTTTGTGTTTGATCAAGATAACAACTTCTACCTGATACATTTGAGTATTCTCATTACCTGTTTGTTAGATAGTGCATGGATATTGTGGGGAGAAGTTACTTGTTGATCACCTCTGGGAGTTAAAAGGTTAAACGCGTAAGGGACATCTGGCTTCTGTTTCCTGAGGTCAATACCCACATCATAGTATAACTACCGTTTTTTATACCTCGAAGAGCAGATGATTCATTCTCATCTCCAATTTCTTCCTCTGTCTGTTGTTCATCAACAGGGTTTTCAGTGTCAGAAGGTACTTGTTGAGAGATCTCAGGCGACTGAGTGGTTTATATAGAAAAGCAAAAAATAAAACGAACATTGACACAGGGCCTGAATCAATATTTGTGGCTCTGTCTTCAACTTTATCGCAAAATGAAGCTTATTTGTTCATCCAAGGATTAACATTGGTTTGATATGAGGAAGTGTTAACCCTTTAAACCCTTAGAGTGACTAATATTAAACAGTATTATCATGCATGTCCAGGTCAAAAAAGCAACAAAAACATCAACAGTAGCTATTACTGTCTAACCAATTTCACTTTGCCATGAATTCAAAGATTGCTAAAAAATATTATTTTGAGTTGCTAAATGGAGTTAGAAGTCCCCTCGAGAGAACCTAGCAACAAAAAAACCTTCCAATGAACAGTTTTGCCGTGAAATAAAAAAAATTGATTCAAGCAAGTTTGATGCAACGGCAAAGGTCATCGAACATTTTAGTAAAAAAAACAAACCATAGGCCTCGCTTGAGTTTTTCTCAAAGTTTATAATCATGATGCTATGTATGACAGAAATACCAAATAAAGATGTCGTTCTTCAGTTCCTACCGTGAATATCCCTATATAAAATCCTCCCTCCCCTTCAGCGTTATCTTTAAAAGGGAGGGGTTGGATCATACATTTAATAAAAGGAGACACTGTAACATTTTTTCACCTTAGAGAAAGATAATAAATTTACAGCTTGCTTATCAACTTAGGGACGAAATTACGCTCTGTGACGGATGTAAAAGGAAACGAGCCTCAAACCGTCAGACTTCCCACCCTGGTGCTCCACCACAGAACCATAGGAAACTTGTTCAGTTAGCCCGTAAGCGGTAGAAAATCTTCAGATCTACCATATGATTATCAGTGAAATCGCGGCTACATAGTCTCTTAGCTCACTGGACTGCATTAGACCTGGGAATACGTAGATCACTAATTGAACATGTCATAATCACCTGACTCTGTGTGGCTACTGGGGATATTATCCTGGGCTCTGCCACCGGTTGACTCGTAAACTTCTGCCCCTTTTTGGTGCAATCAAAGTAATGTATTAGTGCTTCTTCGTGAATCGCTCTGTGTTTCTTGTTCCACGAAAATATAAAGCTTTTTCTACCATCAATTAATTGTGGACGAAGTTGGCGGGATAATGCTGTGTCCCTGGCCTGACGTGAAAGCGTGGAACGGTTTTCTTCGTCATTGTCTCTGTAATTTTCATCCCCTCCTATGACAATCAATACTTTTTCATCTTGAAATGAAAAAAAAAAGAGGGATATAATAATGCATGATACATGATGCAATTTTCATAAACTTCAAATCGTGATTGAAATTCGTGAATATGTAAATTGAAATTCGTGCCCGTTTTACAACTTTACCAAGACTCGATCGCAATGGATGTTCCTTTTATATAATGTCGAAAACTGCCCAGATCATGAGTACATACATTAAATAGTTTCAAATTCGTTAACACTGTAAAGAAAAAACATTGCATAACAAAACACAAAAAAACGTGACAGTTCATGCGAGTCCGCGTGAAACAAATACGTAGAATCTGACAGCAATAAAGCTAGCTACAGCTGTAGATGTATTGGGAGTTCCGTTACATTGTAGTCATAATTCCATATGAGAATTGGGTTAAATGGTAACATTTGAAATAAAATTTGAGTCTTTAGGAACTCGATCTCTATAGGAGGTCTTTCTTATCATATGTTATATCGCACTTGTTTTGCCGACAACATTTCGTGCAGGTCGAGAGACTCACTCTCTTTTTTCGTCTTATATCGTGTCACTTTTTTATTATTAAATTTTGTTTTAAAAAATCAGTACTGATTGTTCTTCGTTGGTTGTGTAGGACAACCAACTGACTATCTTGTACAAGAAGAATTACCCGGCAAAGGTTCCTAGAAACAACACACAATGAATAACGTGACGAATTAGGAATCCCGCACCATAACTTATGTAAAAGGTAAATTTGCAACCTACCAGAGCCTGTTCGTTTCTTAAGAGCCTCATAAATCTTTCCAAGATTACTGTCTTCGCTGAAAGAGAGGCAGGATTCACGAGCATGCACAACAAACACCGCGTAATCCATCTTCAATTTAGGGATAGTTTCGTCGACCATATCCGAGATTTGTCCGCCGCTGAAGTAGCCTTTTTCGATCTTAAAGGAAGTTTTCACTGCAAGCTTCTTTTCGACAGCTTTCAAAAGCTCTTCCACCTCGTTCAAATCACATAATTTGTCGCAGTGACAAAGATAAACGTATGTCTCCTTCGTGGGCGCCATATTTAGCGTTGGTGGTTAGATTGTTTTCGGTTTCCAAGAAGAGCTGTTTCTTAGAAATGGCCTCTTTGTCACGCAACGAGACATCTGGTATGAAAAACAACGCAATTTCTCTTCTCTGCCAAAGAAACAAGGATAGAATTTATATTCTGATCCCAGCTACTGACAATGACTCTAGAATAATTCGGGGTGGAGAGACCGACAAAACTGAAAAGGGAATGAAAGACTTGAAACATTTTTGGGTTATTAAAAAAATAATAATAACTCTATGTTAGCGTATAGAGAGTGGTATGTTGCTCGCACCAATCAGATTGTTTAGGGTATGTATCTCGCACCAATTGCTATCAGATTGCCGCATTAGGGTATGTATCTCGCACCAATCAGAGCGTCGTTTATGTTCTTTGGTTTGAGAGGTGTTCAAATTTCAACGAAGTAAAGGGGTATTCGAAGAGAGCGGTTCGTAAAATGGAATCATCTTTTAGAGTGAGAAATGTTGGCTTTTACTGGGATACCTGTGGTAGCCCAGCCATAAAACGCCTTTGTTTTTTTTGTCATCCTTTTTTTTTTTCCTCCACCACAAAATGGACAAATTGTGCAATAGTGCCCAGTGGTCATTGGGACCTCAACACCATGACAAGTAACTGTGATCTAATGAGGGTGAAGGTGTTCACATGCTGATCACGTTTGTTATCTTGATGATGATTATTGACGTTGTCATGCACGGACAGGGCCAGATCACATGACGAACCACGAGATTCTCTTTTGTCAATCATTTTGTATTTGTTCTGGGGTTGTTGTTTTGGCGATGGAGGTTCTGCGTTTTTGGTTTACGATTACCTGGGGCTCAAAATACTTACAGACGCATACACAGGTCGTATTGATCGCGGCCAATCCACACTAGATGTTATTGAGCGGTATTTTTGGAACGGACTGAGTCGCGAACGCTTGAAAGCCATGAAAGCCTTGTGTGCCTTGTATGCCAATGCCTTAGTTGAAAAATGTACACTCACTGAAAAAAAACACAATCTTAAATCTGAAACCAAACTGCAGAGTTTTTTTCGTGGAAAACTGATTTTCTAGGTAATTGTTCACATGAAAGACAAATCCATTCATCGGGCTCTTCATCTGTTTTTGCATGACGCCTAAAGGAAGAAAGTCGCGGATTAATTTCGCTTGGTAATTTCTAACAACTACACTAGACCTAAAAAAGGAAAAAAACAAAACAAACAAACAAAACGTCTTACCAGCAAAACCAGTGGCTGTAGCTCTCGCACTAAATCATATCGAAGTACCTTGACTGTTTGCAGTGATGGTACAACCAATCTTCGAACAGTTTTCGGCTATAACAAGAAAGAGTAAAATGATTTTATAAAACTTGTTCTAAAATTAATGAAGGCTGTTCATCACATGACGCTGTATTGGAACGAGTATATCTCGTCTGCTACTGTATCACACTACTGTTTTAGACAAGATATTTATACCACTTAAATTTAAGAAAGAATGAGTAGAATATAAACCACATTTTCTGCAAAGTACACGAGTCATCCTTACCTCATTTGCCAACTGCTTTCCAGGCATCATCTGTAAGAAACCTCTGCAATTTTTCAAATTTGAAAATTTTCAGCTAGAACCGTGGCTTCTAAAAAATATTTCTCACCTTGCCTAAAAAATTTTCAAAAGAAATTTTCAAGTTTTCACAACTTTGCCTGTTCTTGCTCGTAGGTTCAGCCGAGCCTTTATGGCCATTGGCAATAGCCGATAACAATAGTTTATAAATATAGGCGTTTAGTGTTAACTTGTTAAACTCCCTGAAGAAGTTACGAAAGTTGGACGAAACACGTCAGAGGAAAAGGAAGTTTTGCTGCCAACAAATGTTCGCACAGCACTGCTCACCAGTTTAAATTTAAATTAAAAAAAAAACATTTGAATTGTTTTAAAAATTATTTTAAAATTATTGAAAAAAAATTAATAAACGTTTGAGTCGGAGCTATTCCTGTCAGCGGTGAAATAAGGAATGGCTCCGATCTCTGGTCGTCCGCCTGAATTGACTAAATGAGTTTTGTCAGCGGAACTTGTCAGCCGACGACTTTTTCATCGCCGGAATATCGCTGAACGACCTCGAAAGGCTGCCATCCCTTCGCTACGTAAGTAAGCATTTCTTGATTGACAGATCAGTGTTTTCATTCGTATTGATATTTCATTGTTCCGCTTCGAGACACACGGTTAACAGTACTAACGAGCAAATAGTTAAGAAATAACTTATTAACTTTTACTATTTTTATCATCCAATTACAGGTCGGAGCCATTCCTGCATTTAGTCGCTAGTCTTGTGAAAAAAGACGCCATGTTGGATTCACTTAATGCCAGGGAAAGTAGCTACGATAACAGTGCGAATTGTATTAATTTCACGATCAAAAGGATGAATCTTATGTTTGTTTTCATTGTAGTTGCATGGATATTCTTTTTTGATAAATACATGATCCAAAATCCTGTGTTTTTTGTGTACAATGTTATTATGTTATTTATTGTTTACGCAGTTGTCTTTTTGGGCTAATTACTAAGTAAAGCTGTTGATGTCTTCAGCAAAAGCTGCCGTGAATAGCTTCGATGAATGTGACGTATTTGAGAAAGCTGCTCAGTTATCTGCTAGCTCCGCTTTTAGGCTTGGCTAAATCTATATATTAGCAATGATGAAGCATTTTCAATAAATACAGTCTGTAACTGTAGATCTCGATACGACAAATTTGTTTATTTTAATCGCCCTCGTACGCATGGTATTCGTGTTCGTGATCGTGAGCTCAGCAGAATACCAAAGAAAAGAATTACACGTATTTTGAAGAAATCCAGGAAAGTAAAACGTTTACTTCGAATCTACATCAGAAAAAGCATACCGAAGTCTTCCCGAATGCATCTTTTTACAAATAAAGCTCGTGAAAAAATATTTGCACATGGAATCAGATATGAGAATAAAGGAACACGAAATATCCCTCTTCTGCAGTCAGGAGAAAATATCGAAAGTCTATCATATACAGGATACTGAAAATGCTAAACTAATATCCACATGTAATAAAAAGTCCAAAGCCAAAGCAGTCGAATGCATGGAGGTCTAATTCAGTACCAAATGTTTATAAATCTGTGTTAAGGATATCGAACAAAAGAACAGCCTTTTTTTTTATTAGATCAATTGTCAATTACTTTAATCTGTGTGCCTAGGTACGATCTTAGTTACAATGTTTATCTTTTCCCTATTGGTTTGTAATCGGATATTTTAGCGTCACCACGCGCATATAAAAGCTAAATTAGCGTCCCTATAAGCCAGAGTTTCGCAAGATTTCGCCTTGAACAGCAATAACTTCGTTCTTTCGTTCCAAACCTTTGGCACAAGCGGGACCGATATGTAAGTGATTTTGTTAGTTTTATTTCAATATGTTTAAGTTTAGTTTTTCACCTTGGGCGATAGCGCACATATGTACTGTGTTGTACAACAGTACAACTAATTATCTTGAAATCAAAGGAGTATTTTGAAATAACTAGACGCTCACACAGTAACGCCCACATTTTAGTCTTTGGGCTGTTAATCAGCCGCAAATGGTCATCGTGTAGCCGATCTTTGAATCTCGAGTAGTTTTAATTTAGCCTTTTATGATTTGTTTATGTTAATTCACGTTGATTGTTGTTATTTTAATCGCGTTATCAACATAAGCACGTAAAGCGTTTCTTTCATGCCTTTCGCACCATTTCAATTAGATTCATGCATTCGTTATAATATTATTGTAATTTCAGTTTACGGTCGTGATCGTCACCGTGATCTAAATAAACACCGTTGATAGTCATCTTGGTTTTCGTGGTTTCACTACGACCGGTAAAATAGTCCCCACATCAGCGACACTTAGAAAACACGCATAGCGACACCCCTCGAAGTTTCCTCTTTCGTCGCAAGCGTCACAATCTGAATCACAGGGTAAATCATTTTAAGTCCAATCTGTCTGGGGATATAGAAACATTATTAATTCTACTAAAACAATTCAAGCTCCTCACAGTCAAGACAATGTAGCAATGTTTGGGTTAAATGCTGGTACACAGTGTGTAACCATATCACTTGCTTCCCTCATATATAACAAGGGGAATGGTATTATATTTGGTTAATATCATGAACATTGGTAATGAATTGTATTCTGGCCTTTCTAGTCTATCCAGGCAATCCTATTCATTGTTAACAGAAGTACCTGAAATGATAATAGTGTTTAACATCAATTATCAGTTTCAATATAGTCCAAGTTATACTGGCACTGTACATGGTACTTGTGAAGTACAAGAGTTCAATTATTGCATGTCATTTGCTAAGGCTATGTAGGCTTTGCTAGGACAAAATTACAATTCCTTTCTTTTAACAATCCTTAGTACTACAGTAGGTTTTTATTGTAATGGTGATGGTAAGTTTAAGATATTTGGTTCTCATGGTAGAGATTCATATGGTATACCCCATACTCAAGGAACTTGGATACTGTTAGAAGTTAGCACCTTAAATGAGCTGATAAACTATTTTCAAGGTCTTTATCAAAATGCAAATGTTTTGTACTCAAAGGTGTACATATTAATGAAAAACAATGTGATATGACAGATATTTCTGATCAACAGTTGTCAGCTGTCCCCCTCGAAGCAAATCATGCAGATGCTGAAATTACAACCATTCATATTCCCTTGTTATGCTGTTGTGCCACATCTTTTATAGCATTTAGTTTTCCATTTTCAAATATTGTGGTTATTGGAATTCACAGACTCTAGATAGAATCACTGACCATGCAAACAAGTTTTACAAAGAAAAACTCAATGGCAATAACCATCCACTGACTATCAACAATTTCCCAAGGACACTTCAAATATATGATGCAGATATTAATATTGCCTTTAATTTGGAGAAACAAGGAATACTTGCTGTACATCTCGTGGATTTCAAATTATTGCTTCAGCTGTATTTTTCAGCACAATAAAATGAAAACAAA